TTTCTAAAATCACATATTTTGATGTTATTGATTTTCCTCGCTAACATTGATGGATTTTGTCTGCAGGTCATTTCTCTACCCGACGCTCAGCATGCTCCAGATCATCAGCTTGGAGTCGAGTCGGTGCAGACTGAGGGCCATGCGGGCTGCAGGGACGCCGTCTCCGGTGTTCAGCACATGTGTGGTCAGAGGGCTGTACTCTGCGGCCGCCATCATCTGCTGGACAGGCGAGGAAAAGACAACTTTGTTTAGTATTTATTAAGAGTTAGATTTTTATCCGCCGGTTACGTCCGCAACCTTCCCGGTGTTACGGTCTAAGTGAGTGACACGCCCCCTGCACACAAGATGATGATGTTTCAGTGACTTATGGTCTTGGTCTTGTCTCGGTCTCTGCACGCTCTGGTCTCGAGTATGGCTTGGTCTCAGTTACTGTGGTCTTAACTACAACACTATCTGTCCTTTCCAATAAAGGCAAAATTGTCAAAAAAATATCTTAAACACAAGATATCTAAAAACACAAAACATTTGCTTATTTAACGAACATCTTAATCATGTCACTGAAAAAACTTTCCTTGTGACATTTGAAAAATCTTATTGAGGCAGTAAATCAAATCTCTGTACTTCTCACTTCAACTTAGATACTTCATTAATCCTCTGACACACACACACACACACACACACACACACACACACACACACACACACACACACACAAATACAGGACAAAGAACATTTAAGCACCTAAAACAAAACATCAAAAACACTCATCAGGTTTAAAAGAGACTCAACTTTACGAGTGTGCATCATTGTGGTAAAGTTTTAAGAATCTAAAAACCCCAACGTAAATATAAATAAACAAGCTAGCTGAAGGACTTTTAACCTTTTGATCTTTGAACCTCAGTTTGTTTTTCTCAAATCTCCCCTTCTTTAGGAACTATGTCGTTGAGCAGGAATGTGGATCTGAGTCTGGAAATGAGATATGTTTCATTTTTTTAAACTCAGAGGCATCAAACTTCTGTTAACTTCCTAAAAAAAGTGTAAAATAATATTTAAACACCTTTTCTGTATGACAAGAGGACATGAGGAGGTCCACTTAGAGGCTTGGAAACTCTGAGCATTAGAGATGTTAAAAAAACAATGTACTCATGGAAGGAATATGCACAGACAGTTTGAAAACAAAAAAAGAGGGGAAGCACCGTGAGCAGAAAAAGTTGAAGTTCAGCTCGGTTGTCGATACAGCTAAGTGGAATAGAAATAAAAAAAAACATGCAAAATGTTGTAAACTCACTCAGGCAGAGCCCTCACAGAGCCCCCTGGTGGTGGATTTATGTAAATGCTCGTTCATTTAAAGGTTAAAGAGCCTCTGTAATAACCGTCGTTTCTCAGTGAAGTCTTACCTCTACGTGTTCAGCTCTCTCTCTCCTGCTGCAGCTTCTATCTCCAAAAACTCATCCGACCTGTCGTATCATCACTACACCCAATGCTGCTTACCCAGCATGCACTGCAAACACACGCAGAGTCAAAGGTTGTCCCAGCTCCAGGTTGGATGAATGATTAGAGAGGGGGAGAGAGAGAGAGAGAGAGAGAGAGAGAGCAGCTCCCCTTAGGTCAACATGTGATCCTCTGTTTGACTCTGTAAACTGTTTTTACCTGATAAGCTTCGACTGATTTAATTAAAGTTTATTGTTTGTTCTTTTGTATACTGATGTCATGAGTTGTTTTAATGTTACATATAGCTTCTAAATTTTCTTTGAGTATTTCTTTTTTCTTTAATTTAAGTTAATACGGTGGCCAGCAAGGAACAACAAGCTGCAATTGTCCAAAACTCAAAACAACTATGGAAACACTAAGTGGACATACAGCCATACTTTTTTATTTTACTCTTTTTCATGATACATTTTGGTTGTTTCAAGATCTCGACGTGTTTATCTCGTTGTCTCGGCTTTATAACGCTGGCTTTGCTTTGGAAACTATTTAATTTCTGAAGATCTTGAGGAAACGACTGAAATAAACTCTTCATCACAGAGTAGAATAAAATGTTTAGACGCATGTCCTCTTACCCCCAATTTCCACATACCTGTGCGTGCCATGGTTTTGCTCCGTTGGATGGCGTCCGCCCTGTCCCACTGGCTCCGTTTCTGGAGCGTGAGCACAGCGTAGCGCACCCATGATCAGCTGAACGCACATTACAGGAGAACTGCAAGATCACCAGAGAATAAAAAGAAAAATGTTGCTTTGTCTTTCTGAGGATGCTTTGTTGCTATGTTGATAAAGTGATTAAAAATACGATCAGGAGTCTGTATGTTTAAACCTGTTCAAATTTAACCTGAAGGATGTGCAGAAGATAAAAAAATACCTCACAAAAATCTCCAACACACATCTATTTTGTGAAAAACATCTTTACTACACACACATAAAACACACTTATCACAAACAATGAAGCACCAACAGCAGAAAACTAGAATCTAAAGAAGAATCCCAACATGTCGCTTTACATCTCTTTACATCAATCATGTTCAAATACAAAGATCGAGCCACTAATTTACACATCAATGTTTTCAAGTGTTATATCATATCTTACATCAACACTTTAAAGATATTTACACTGAGATGTAGTCGTCCCCATCGTACAGCTGGTTAACACAAGACAACATAAGGTGTGTTGGTTTGCTCTCTGTAAAAACAGTCAAACATCAGGTAATTTTTTTTTTTTTTACATCTCATCTGTTTTCATTTATGAACGATACGTGTTATCCATAGCTAGCTGTGTAGCTGACCTGATTGACAGGTGGGCGTGGTGTAACAGTTTGTCAGGAGTCTTAGAACCCGCCTCAGCTCCAGCTCTCAGTCTGTCGTTAGGTTGACTGAAAGTTAGACTGAGACAGCATTTCCAGCATGGAGACCGCCATCAATGGGACTCCAGCGCCCCCTGCAGTAACAGATGGTCGAGTTCTGACATTAGCATGCTAACACTACAACGCAGGATACAGGTGATTGCAGCTCGAGCAAAGGACAATTTTGTCCACCAATTGCACTCAATGGTGCTTAATTATGGTGCGTTCTAATTGATAACTCCTTCAAGTGAAAGTGAGTGGAGGGGGGTTGGAGGTGTGTCTCTGGAGGAGAGCGGAGGCTTCAGTATGGAGGAGGTGTGGCCAAACAGTAGTTTGTTTTGGTTTCATGCCTGTGCTCAAAGGCGACATCTACTGGATCAAAAAATTGCTCATTCTTCCTTTAAGAGACCTCTCTTGTCTCATTTATGTCTCAAGAGAATTGATGAGATTAAGAAATGCATTGGAGCTGCAGGTGTTCGTTTTGCTCCGACCAGGTTTTGAACCTGAAATTTTGTAATTTAGGAGCAGAGTGGTTTCTGTAAACTTCTGTACTGATAACCAGTCAGCTCAACTCGATGGTGTTGGTTCAGTGAAAACAGTTACGCTGATAAAGAAGTGGCAGACATACTGGTGTCTGGTTATTGTTTCATAGTGGAAGAATACAATCTCCTCTTTTATAACTACTACAAATAAATGTTATTAAGTGTAAATGCACATTTCAGGAAATTACCAGAGTCTCTTTTTCACCCACAGAGTCATAAAGTGTGCTCACTGAGCCCTGAACACGCTTCACTGAAATACGGTTCTGTGCACATCTGCAAACACTGATGAGAGCAGAGCTGATGAAAATAAACGGTGCGATAAGGAGCCACCAGCTGCTGCCGCACGGATGTTATTTACATAAATCAGAGGGACTCCAACATGGGAAGCGAGGTTACTCTGATGAATGGATTTAATATAAGGATACCTTGTTTTGTAAGGATTATTGTCTGCTTTCATTTGGGTTTGGAGCAATACTTGATATAACAGAACAAAAAAGCTTAAAATGCTGCCAAACATAGCTCATAAATGTGGGGAATAACATGCCAGACCCGGACTCCAACCTGGGCCGCCCGCTTGGAGTACACCAGCCTTCATACATGGGGCACGGGCACCAACCACTAGGCTGCGGGCGCCACATAAACAGCCTGTTCTTGTTTATTTTCACTTTTCTTTTTGCAGGATTCCTAAAAAGTACAAGGATGTAAAACACTGGGTTCCTTTTTTTTTTTTTTTAAATGTTCATTTCAACAGAAAGTCTAAAATCTCTGCAGGAGTATTCATCTTTTTTTTCTGGGAAAGAAAATAAAACAGGTATCTTTAATGCATGCAAACCATACAGTTTGAAAAATGGACCTGCAAAATATTATGCTGATACACCGGAGGCGCTGAAGTTGTTTATCAAGACAGTTCAGGAGAAGAAGCACAATAATCCGAGCGACTAGATTTTGGTGTGTTGTTGAAAGTTGTGAGTTTATATCATGTCATTCAAATCTCAACTGCACCTACTTACAAGTCCACGCCTGTCCATGATTTATCATGCTGATGTTGTGGAAGTAGACCATCCTACCCATAATGCACTGCTCGTGCTCGACTGGCTGATGGAGGTCGGTAAAAGTTCTTACCACAGATGAACTGCTCCAGAGTCTGAAAAAGTGGACTGACACCTTTCAAGGGACCTTTGCATGTTTGTTTGGGCCACGCCAGGGATTAATGACAGTTTTCACACCAGTGCAAACAAACTGCACTAACTTGCACTTAACAAACTGGATTTTTTTTTTAACCAAAAAAAAAACAACCCAAAAAGGTTAGGTGTGAAAACTCGTTAAAACAATGCAACCAAATAGGTCTGATTAGCTCATGTCTCGATCGACACACACTGTACGGGGGGGGGGGGGAATGTTTTGATGACTCATCAGTTTTGATTTGATGAAGGATAAGAGTTATTCACAATAAGGCGTGTAGCTGACTTGATTGACAGGTGGGCGCGGTGTAACGGTTTGTCAGGAGGCTTAAAACCCGCCTCAGCTCCAGCCTGTTGTTAGGTTGACTGAAAGTTAGGCTGAGACAGCATTTCCAACATGGAGACCACCATTGATGGAACTCCAGCGCCCCCTGCAGGAACAGACGGGTGACGTCACTCAGGCTTTGTCCATTAATATTTACAGTCTATGGTTGCAACGCTCTTTAAAAACACTGAATTTAACTCTACTGTTCCATGTGGCGATATGTTGGCGTGGAGCACCAGAGTCTGTGATCGAACAGGAGAACATTTTGGGGATGTTTTTATTTTGTGGTCTGGAGTTTGTTCAGAAGAATAGAAATCAAAAAGGCAGTGATGAACAGATGAGATGGATTCAGGGGGAGAGAAGAGTCCGTCCAAGAAAGTTCCTGTTTCCAACAACTTCTAGAAGAATCTTCCATCCCTGCTGCGGAAAATCCGAGGTCCTGGTGCTGGAAGGATGTTGGAAGAAAAGAGGAGAAATGCATTACTCTGTAGAATCTGTACTCAGAGATTTACCTGTTCACCCTTTGAGAAATGTAGAATATAATAACACCAGCTTCCTAAAAAGTGCAAAGAGGAAACTGAAGTCAACGACAGTGAACAGTGCAAGAGGCGACATTAGCGTCAGAACATGCTAGCAACAAACGATGCAAAACAGTCAGAAAATATGATTTTCAATGTTGGCCATAATGGTGGACTCTTGGAGAGCCAAATATATTCCGTGGTGGTAATCATTGTGAAAAGTTTGAGAACATACCAAGAGTGTAGTTCTTAAGAGATCTGATACCTGAGCTGCAGTATCACAGATCATCCTCCAGGTCAGACTGATGCTGCTTTATCTGGAAACAGAGAGAGAGAGAGACAGAGAGAGAGGGAGAGAGAGGGAGACAGAGAGAGAGACAGAGAGAGAGGGAGAGATAGATGGATAGAGAGACAGAGAGAGAGAGAGAGAGAGAGACAGAGAGACACAGAGACACAGAGAGAGAGAGAGACAGAGAGAGAGAGAAATAGAGAGAGAGAGAGGGAGAGAGAGACTTCATGACACAGTGGGTCCGCTAAAGCAAACTGCAATTAGCTGTAATTAACACAATCTTTCTCCATCATCTTCCTCATCATCATCATCCATGCAGCCTTGTCGTCTTTGAGAGTAACACACACACACACACACACACACACACACACACACACACACACACACACACACACACACACACACACACATTGTAAAAGTCATCTCTACCTGCAGGGAGCTTCAAATCTCCTTTTCTTATTAACACAATGTTGTTACACACACACAAACAAACACACACACACACACACACACACACACACACACACGCACACAGAACAATGCAGCAGATTAGGGGGCTGTTCTGTTCTCCGCCTGCGCTCAGATTAATGAAGCAGTCTCGCTCCGTCAGGCAGGTAGAAGCCTGCAGGCTAATTCTATATCATTATGTTTTCCCCGTAAAGACACGGAAACATGGAGAGCAGCGTTCCTCCGCTCGGCTCATCTGAGCTTCAATAAAAAATAAAACGACCTGCATCATACAGCACAGATTATGCAAATTGTCCTCCGTGCAGAGTGGAGCAATGAGGCGCACTTTGTTATGTTTTTTGTCAAAGATAAAGGACCAGAGGTAAAACTGAGGTCGTCATAAAGACAGGTGAGGGGAGGGGCCTAAGCAGGAAAACATAGTATTCTCAGTTTACTTTTAACATGAACTAAACACGCCTCATCTTCCTCTTTTTGCAGCGCGGCCAGCTTTGTTCTGGCTTTATTTAACATGTTTTCAGAGTGGATTTGTAATTATTTTGAAGTCTAAACGTTGAAACCTGGTTCATATTAAACTTCATTTTTAATTTTTTGTACATTTTATACGCAAACGGACTCGGCTGTGTGTTCACCTTATCCTCAGATGGAGAATAAACGCCGTTAATAAGAGAGAATCCACAAGATGGCGGTATATCCTAACCTGCTGAAACACTGAGGTCATAATTTACCCCACGGTCGGCTGGTGTTGTCAGGGTAATTAGGATGCTGGTTAGAGTAGTTTAAAATGTAATCTGCACTGGGGGCAGTGATTTAGAACAGAGGTTCTCAAAGTTTTTCGGCTTGTGTACCCCCTTTCAGAATGTTTTTCAGCGCCCCCCTTATCCGGCCAAAGACATTTTTCAGGAAATAATTTTGGAAAAGAACATGTGTAAACAAATGTATGTGGTCTTCATAAAGCTGTTGGCTTATGTCATCCTACAAAAGACAAACAGTGCTTCGGGAGGAACAGAATACATGGAGGTAAGTCCCATAAAAATGTATTAGTGGTGGGCGATATGGAAAAAATATCATATCATAATTTTATCACGATTTTTTTCCATACAGATCTTAAAAAAAGATTTTGCAAGTTGCCAACTAGTTTAACCAAACTTATTTCCCTGTATAATGTTTTTAATTGCACAAATACTGTGCTTATAAGTTTAGTCTATTTAAAATTGTCTTTGTTGCTGGACATCTCCCCAGAACATTTTTAACACCAGAAATGTCTTCCCCTGCATTCTGACAAATTTGTATGTACAATTGGAGGCTTTTATGCACCATTTTAAATGAATGATTTAGTATTGTGTGCTCTTTTGTGTCTTTAAATCTATGTTAGGGTTCATCAGGTACCTTTTTATACAATGATGCATTCATTTAAAAACATGTACACTTCAAACATAATCCAAAATGTAATTATTCTGTGACACATGGTCAAAGTAAGTTTTACTGAATTAAGAGTTTTATTCACGGAGGGGACAGGACAACGTTGATTGATGGACAGACAGTCACCATGGTTACTCACTCTCACCTGCCTGCTGCACACTGAACGAGATCAGAAAGAGCTGCTGACTGACATCACTTCAAGCAGCATGCATAGATACGAATGCATGGAAATAAATGTTTGTAGGTTGTGGTGGAATGTCTGTACTTATTTAGATTATAATGTACAGATGTCACTAGGGTTATTCACTGTTCTCTAATGTCAGTCAGACCTGACAGAGTTCAGCTGTTATTAGAACACCAAGTACAGCTTGGAGAGTGTCAACTGTTCTTCCTGATATCTGCAAGGATGTTTGGTAGACTTGTTGTCTGCTTCAGTGTTATAGACGTCACAGTTTAGTCTAGCTGGGTCAATGTGACATGACCCTGGTATTGAGAATGTCTTTTGGATATATGCGATGCCGTTCGAGAAGTTCGGGAGATGTGATTGAGCAAGACACGAGTACAGAAGTGTGATGTTGAATCATGTCTCCTCCAGAGTATTCATCTGATGTATAAACTTTCATCAACGTAAGCCATCTGAGTCAACTGAGTCTTATTGTATGGAGTCAAGTCTTAGTAATTTCTTCAACAAAACATTTTTTCAACAACCGAGGTCCAGACCTCGCTGATATTATCGCCTCCCTCCGTTTCATTCTCGTTTCCATTATCACAACAGGTGAGCTTCGAGTGGAGAGGCTTGTTAATAACTTTAAAAACTAAGAGAGAGCAGAAAACACCGACAACATCAGTTTAAATAACGGGATTACAAGACAAATTCCTATCAACTGTTGGTGAAATGGCTTTAATAAACTTGAACTACATCTCCCATCACAGACTTTCTGTCTGAGCTCCGCTCTGTCTGACTCTCAGCAGACTGTTAACGTTTCTTGGGCTTGTTAAGGGTTCATTATGTCGCTACCCGAAGTATAAACCTTAACTTTGCAAACTCTTCAGATAACTGTTTATTGCATCCTGCATCCTGTATCTCAAACAGCTGCATATAACCGCGGTGGAGTTCTTTTTACAGGCTAACTCTTAAGTTTTGTTTTTGGGCATCCCACTCCGCTGCTGAGCAGAGGGTGGGGGGGACGCGTCTGTGTAGGAGCATAAACTGCAGCATGATTAAAATGAACACATTAGCTCTGTTCTACAATCTCCCTGTTTTTGCAGATTGTCAACACGTTTCAATCCTTTACAATCTAAGATCGTTATTTCACACACCACTAGTTTGCTGTGATGCAACTTTTTTTAATGACATTTGTCACGTACCCCCTGCAGTACATACACCCCCATTTGAGAAACACTGATTTAGAAGATCAAGTAGGGTAAAAAAAATGTCTAGATTTACTCCCTGGGGTAGTTGTGTGGTTGGTTTTTGTATACTTACCCCGTTGAGGTAGTAGTCATTATTATTGCCGGGTAAAATAAGTTTATATATTTACCCTGTGGGGGTAACTGTGGGGGTAGTAGATGTTTATATTTACCCTGTGGGGGTAACTGTGGGGGTAGTAGATGTTTATATTTACCCTGTGGGGGTAACTGGGGGTAACTGGGGGTAGTAGTTCTGGTAGTGCAGCGGCTCGTCCTCGCTGGCCTCTCCTGGTTCCGGACTTTCTCTCTCCAGACTGCTGACTGAACCTCGATGAGGAGAGTCCAACACACTCTGAGGACACTCTGAGGACACACACACACACACACACACACACACACACACACATTGATTTTGATGAAGTGATGACAGCAACAATACTTTCAGCCTAAATGTTACTGTTGATGCTCATAGCAGCCATGTTGGATTTTAATAATTTTTAATTTTAATTTTAATTTTAATTTTAATTTTAATTTTAATTTTAATTTTAATTAAGTTGCCAAGTTTCCAGTTCGGTATTCCGACTTCAGGGGGGCGTTCCTGACAACGTATCAGACCAGCAACTTGGACTTTTCCGACCATCATCCCACCTCTCAAAATGATGCGCAATGACAACCATATTTTACGGAGGACTTTAAACCTACTAGAAGGTAGGTGTAAGATTTAAAGGTGACATATCCTCCTCCTCTTCAACCAGTGTAAATAAGCCTCAGAGCTCCTCACAACATGTGTGTGAAGTGTCTTGTTCTAAATCCACTCTGATCCTGTATTTGATCATGTCTATAAACCCCTCTATTTCAGCCCTGCTCAGAACAGGCTGTTTCTGTGTCTGTGGCTTTAAATGTATAAATGAGCTGTGTTTGACCACGCCCCCTCTCTGGAAGGGTTCAGGTGGCTCGGGCTTTCTCGCTCCATGTCCTATTGTTTACAGTGAGAAGGCAGACTCAGAGGGCAGAACAAACACCTAGCTGTGGGAGTGTCACCCAACTGGGGGAGGGGTTACTGCCCTTTGTGATGTCATGAAGGGAAAATCTCCAAACGACCTGTTTGAGCACACATTTTCTGAAAAATGGAGCAGGACAAAGACGAAGAGGATGGACTTCTCATCATTGGGGGGTTTGTAGACAGACTAGAGACACATATTAGAGTTAGAGAAACATGGTGAAGTGGATTTTATAGAATATGTGACCTTTAAGTTTTAACTTCTGTCTACGTTGGAACGCAGCTGCTGCAACACCTGAAATGTAAATAGAGCGTAAACTCTGCCATAAGGTAGCACTTACAGAGCAATGTGTGTTCAAGGTTATGTTTCAAAAAAGATAATTTTTATAGACGACCAATTTTAATAATCACATAATCCGTCAGTGTGAATGTAGTCCTTTGTCCTTCTGTTGTTAAAAAGATTCACCCAGAGAGCGGCCGATATCTCAACCTAACTTTTATGACTGCTCACGCTCAGCGAGGAGCCGCTGGTGCAGAGAGTGTCTGTGTGTTTCCCTTCAGATGTGATCGGCTATCATGCTGAATCTGTGAGGAATGGTTCAATGACAGAGCTGCCTCCAGCCGAGCGTGGATTATGACAGGGAGGTAAACAGTGATAAACGGCCGGCCTCATAACCTTTCATAAGCTCCCCTTCAGCGCACAGGAGTTATCTCGTCCCCAAACAACTGTGTGTGTGTGTGTGTGTGTGTGTGTGTGTGTGTGTGTGTGTGTGTGTGGTTTTATTTCCTCATGAGGATAAAAAAGATGAGGAAATTATCCAAAGTGACATGTTGACAGTTTTTACTTCTTTAGATTATCTTCCTGCAACAAACTTCTCTCCTTCTCAGCCGAGCACGAGGCTGCAAAACTTTACAGAAATGGAAACCAGCGGTGTGAAACTCATAACATTTAACCAAGCTCTGTACAAAATGTTTAAAGGTCCACTCATCCATATGTGTGTAGAGGGGTAAAAGATTGCACTGCACCCTCATTTTGAATGTCTAAACCCTCAATTGAATGGATGCAAAAAAATAAGATATTTTTTCTTCACAATGTGTAATCAAGGCTTTCAAATGACAACAGTGACTCAGATCGTGTTTACCACATCCTTGATCTGATGGTCAGGTGCATGTGACCTGGCTGATCACCGTGGACCACATGACGGACCTGTGACACCTATGGCAGTTTTCATTGCTGTTGCCCCTTTAATCTCAGATGCACCCTACGTCATTTTATTCTAGAAACGTACCTGTACTACATTCACTCTCAGACGGTGGTACGCCCTCTTGTGGTATGCTAAGAGTCTCTCTGTGTTTTTTTTTAAATAAAGATTTACAAATCAAATGGTTGACAAGCAAAACTGTGATGGCAAGCGGCGGAAGCAAAAAGGACAGTTCAAAAACAACAAACTGCATTTGTGCAGGGGTGTGTCCATAGGGGTTTCCAGGGGTTACATGGGCCACCCTTGAAATCTGATGCCATTAAATCACTAAACTTTGATTGGCTATTTGCCTTGTCAGAGGTGGGACTTGAAGGAAGGAAGCTTGAGCCAAACACAACTGGACTTAGTTGAAGATCTTGAAGACGGTTCACCTCTCCTCCTGCGAAAGGCTTCTTAAATTGTAAACTATCTGGTGGATGGAGCTAGAAATGTAAGCCTTTAGGATGACTGAGTCGTGGACATAACCTCGCCTAGAGTCGACTTGTTGGGGTCAAATGTTCCAGGGTGGGACTGGGGCTTCAGTTGTTTTGAGAAAGAATTCAAAAACAGCATCTTAGGTTTGAGATAGACGGTGTCTCAGACCACCACCTCGGTTAAGAGATGGTTTTTCCACATTAACATAGATGGCTTCTTTAAGACCCCTTTCAAACCAGCGGTCCTCCCTGGCCAGGATGTGCACCGTGTCATTTTCAGAGGAGTGTCCTTTGTCCTTTAGATGTAAGTGGACAATGACATGCCATGACATCTGAGTCATGGCAGAGGGCTGGAGAGATCATCTGGAACTAAACAGTCTACGTCATGTTCATATTGGGGCCAAGTTATAGAAAAAGCACAAGATTGAGGTCTGATGTGTGGGTCGGGGTAAACAGTGTACAGGGACATGAATCCGTCCAATAGATTTCTCTACCTGAGCAGTCCTTCCTCTGTCTGTCCATCTTGTCTACACAGTCCAACAGTCCGTCGATCTGACCCTTTATGACCATCAGCTCCCTCTTAATGGCAAGAAGCTCCGCCATCTTCACTGTATGGATACAGAGAGAGAGAGAGAGAGAGAGAGAGAGAGGGAGAGGCTCAATATAAAACAATATCAAAGTCGGAAATAAACGAGATAAAACAACAAAGATTCTGAATTGAAGCTGAACGTTGCTAGAAGGGAATCTTACTGCAACACCAAAGTGGTTTTAAGAAATTGTGCTCCTCTTACTTTGTGCCAACAGTTTGTGTTTGTCTATTTTCTGTTTTAAAATGAAGACGCTCCTGTGCACAGCTCCATAAAGACAAAAACATATTTATGACAGGACTTCCCCAGTTTTGCTGGGAAACTTCCCTCTATTGCAAACTTTTAAGATGAACTAGACCAAAGACCCAAGACCCGTTTCCACCATGCGGTCCGATTCAGTTCAGTACACAGTTATTGGCATTTCCACTGTCAAAAGTTAGGAATGGTACAAAAATAATCGATCTGTACTGTCCTACTTTTTTGCAACCCTTCTCCCGAGGTGCCAAGCCAACAACCCGAACCTAAAGGCTGGAGCGTCACACACTGCAGTCCGCTGATTGGTCGAAAGAATCATCCCTTCCAGTCTGACATTGATAATAAAGGACAACCCAAAACGCACCATGTTTAAATATCTGCTGGATTACCAGAGAGTAAATTAAAGGCTCACTCCATTTTTTTTGGCGACTAACGTCTGTTTGTAGCTCCGCCTCATGGATGACCTCGGAGGTGAAGGACCTCTGCTGGACGTCCTCCATTGCTGCCCTTTGTTTACTTTGTTGTCTGGACATTATTGCACGGTAAAATGTTTAGGTGTGAAGGGGTAGTTTGAATGTGTTCGATCGGTATGTGTCATCTTCTAAATTTGTTCAAAGTTGATTTTATTTTAAAGTGACATCACTACTACTTATAACTGATTATAAGCAGCTTCATTGACGTGCACTAAGATCCTGATCTGTTGCACACTGGTCACATGATATAAAGATCACCTTTATATCATGGTGGATTCTCCTGCTGTGTTCTTACATCGGCTAACCTCGACTTCATGCAGACATTTTACTCGGGGGCTGGTGGCAAAAATTACAGAAAAATTCTAAGTGAAAAGAATTGACAATTTCTGTTCACACATGCAGCTCACACTGAAAATGTTTGGACAATTTAAGGAGTTTTGTGCATGTGTGAAAACGGCTTTACAGATTTATATCCACAAAAGACGAGAACAGCCCAAAAACAGAACAAAACACTTACTGCGTAACCCCACAGAAAGTCTTTCAGCTGGTTTTTCACATCATCTACTCAACACATACTGTTAAGAATCAGTTCAGGCTGGCTCCATGCAGATTCAGACGTTATCCAGTGACCCCTGCAGCCATCAAGCCTGTAGTCCTGCGACACAAAATGATTCCCAGCGCTGCACTCCCACCTCCCTCCACCCCATCGCCCTCGCGGTGCTCTTAAAAAAGGGCCGCCCTCGCCACCAAACGGCCCTAAAAACTGCATCACTCCTGACAGCTTCTCAACCTTTGGAGCTGGCAAAGGCAATCTAATCTCCCCATGATGGGGCGAAGTGAAAACTATTAAGGCTTGTAATAATCTAGTATAAACAATTCTGATTTGCCATGCACTGTTAACTCGGTCTAATTGCGAGCGCTGATAGGCTCGGCTGGCTTATGAGAGGAAGGAGAGCCCTGCGGTACAGAAGCTTTTAATGAAGAGACCATCTGCTGCGCCCCCCCACCCGCCTCTCTGCAGCACCCTGGGGCCCTAACATTGAGGCGAGCCATCACACGGGAGGGAGATAACATGAAAGAGGCTTCAGGAGGGGAGACATCGTCATGTCGGCTGCAGATAAAATGATTTTTAAAAACGGTCACAATCTGGAGCACATAGGCCGCCGCGGCTCTTGTGTGAGTTTAGAATCTAAAAGCCTTTAATTGG